CGCGCCCCGGTCAGAGGTCGGGGGTCGTGCAGGGACTCGGGACTGACCTGCCGCCCACGCGCGTCCCGGACGCCATTCTCCCCAAGGTTTCCAGCAGCCGGGGAGCTGCCTTCTCGGGTGCGGCCTCCGCTTGGGCCCCGCTGGCCTAGCGCGGGGGGCTGACTGCCGAGGTGCCGCCTGGGCCTGGGCCACGGGGCTGGGCCGGGCCAGGTCGGGCTCCGAAAGGTGTGAAGTTGGCGAAAGAACCGGCTCCCCTAAGTCTTAGGGGAGCGCTGACCCGCCTTTCCACTGGCCCATCCTCCGCAGGACCTTGGGGATGGCACGGTGTCCTCAATTAAAATGTGTTTCAGTTAGTGGAGATAATAGTTTAAAGAACACAGGGTTCATCACAACCCCTCGGATTTGCTGAATGACCGTGGGCCTCTCATTCTTGGCTCAATAGGAGATTGAAGTCTTTATGGATTTCAAATTCTGCTCCCATGGAATACCCGTGTTTCTTTCATAAACATTTTTAAAAGGTGGGCTCCTGTTTGTGGAAATGTTTTACTAGAGCATTTTTATGGTATTTTCCTCCTTTATTTTTTTTTCCTTTGATTCTCGATGCTAGAATTTAACACAAGAACGTGTCTGATATTGCACCAAATATATTTAGCCCTTTAAGTCCCAAATGGCAAGTACCATCGGAGTTGTTCTATTTACAGGCAAGACAGGCCTTAGGGCCCACTTTCCCCGTCCCTTTTCTTTGCTTCCCTGGGACTAGGTTTCCCTACTTTATTCCTTTTAAGGATTGACACAGGCCCAGCTGGGCCCTCTCACTTCTTCCTGAGGCCTGAAAAATTCCCTGGAGGGAAATGGTCAAGAGTGTAAAAAGAGCCTTCTCTAAATTTAAGTGTGCAAGTCTGAAGGTTAAGAAACAGAAATGACAATTTATATACCTGGGACCAAGGTTTTGCCAGCTTTGTCTGCAGCCTCTGACCCCCTTTCCGCTCCAATGGTCAAATAGCTCTCCAGGCTTTAAGAAACTAGAGGCCCAGTGCACGAAATTCGTGCACGTGTAGATTCTCTAGCAACTGCCAGCTGCCAGCCAGGGCCTCCCCTCCCCTGCTGCCAGCTGCTGGCAGGGGCCTTCCTTTGTTCTGTGCCCCCCCTTGGGGGTCAGTGCCCGTCATAGTGAGTGATCGAACTCCTGGTCGGTTAAACTCCGGAGGGGACACTTTGCATATTAGGCTTTTATATGTATAGATATGAAGTTAACTGTTTTGGACAGTTAACTTCTCTACCCCATCCTTTCTGATCTACCCAGCACTTTCCCAGGCCACACCAGTGCTGGAGAACAGATGAAGTCATGCACAGCATCAATGATGATGGTTACTTGGATTGTGCCTCTAGTGCAGCGGTTCTCAACCTGTGGGTTGTGACCCCTTTGGGGGTCAAACGACCCTTTCACAGGGGTCACCTAAGGC